TTTAATCGTAATCGTAACCATATATAAGATATCAAGACATAAGTGTAGAAAGAAATGACCATCGATTCCTTATCGACTTTCATTCATATATATACTGCAGACAAAACAATATCGCGATTCAATTATACCGCTAGCGCCATCTATCGAAAGTAATTTATAACAATAGAAACCTGATTTTTTAGGTAAGCAATATTTAATTAAGTTATACAGTGTGCATTATGTATACATGACAATATTTTATATCCCTTATATATATATCAGTTCTTAAGAAGCGCCCCACACTTTTTTCACAATAATATTAATTTAAAAATAAATTAACAAACAATAAATGGTATTTTTGTGAAAAAAAAAGCGTGATGAGCATCATATATCACTTCTTAAGAAGCGCCCCACGCTTTTTTTTCAATAATACCATTAATAAATGGTTATTTTAAACAATTTAAATTAAACAATTTAAACAATTTAAATTAAATTGATTTCCAAGGTTGTAAAGGTTAAATTAGTTTCCACGCGGTTTCTTTCACCACTGGAGCGTGTTTTTTAGTTTTTTTTTAAACTATATTTATTTTTTATTTTTTAGTTTCGTTTATCACCGATTGATAGATGTACTCATATTATTAATTATTAATATTTCATTATTATGTATTTTATTGTGCTGAGCTGAGCGCCTATATAAAGGTTTTGATTACCTGTCAGTGAGTCAGTGCCAAAATTAGCTATTTTCACAGGGTCATATTTCAGGATCTACTGAAGCTTTATCTATGAAATTTGTCATACTGCTTTAGGACTAGTATATGATTACGTAGGTACAATTTCATCTCTGTACTTGCAATAGACACTGAGCTACACTGGGTCAAAAGTGGGTCGAATTTATAAAAAATTCGATATTTAGAATTGAGGCAACTCACGCTTAACCGATTTCTTAAATTTCTTAATTTTTTGTTAATCTACATATAACACACAACCTGTGTACCAAATTTCATAATGCTAAAACAATGGGAAGTGGCCTAGAGGTTTTGATTACCTGTCAGTGAGTCAGTGCCAAAATTAGCTATTTTCACAGGGTTATATTTCAGGATCTACTGAAGCTTTATCTATGAAATTTGGCATACTGCTTTAGTTCTAGTATATGATTACGTAGGTAAAATTTTATCTCTGTACTTGCAATAGGCACTGAGTTACAGGGGGGTCAAAAGTGGGTCGAAACGGTTCGTGTAAATATAGTGCACGGCATGCGCCGGCCTGTGGAACTTGGCCGGCGCACTACCGTGCGCTTAGATCAATTGTAGCTTTGTTTTTTAAATTTAATTCCAAATTTTTCCAATTGGTGCAATTTCCGATATGCAGCGATGTTTTTTCATGACGAGATAAATTATCAGATGTGTGTTGAAAATCATTGAAGCCTTCATTAACTAATTTTATTTCTTGTTTGCCAAATAATTTACAACAGAAGCAAAATATGGAATCCGTTTTTGGAGAATAGATTAACCACTCACGATTAAATTTTTCACCATTTGGCATTTTTCTATAGAAATAAGTTGATGAAAATGATCTTCCCAATTCATTAATTGGATATGTAGATTGTTTATTTTGTATGGGTCCTTTTTCGATTAATATATCCAATATTTTAGTGGTAATTGTTAAAGGCCAGCAAGCTGGATCATTTAAATCCATACACATAGCAAAATATGCTTTATCAATTTCAGCGGTATCGGTATTGTATAGATCGATATCCTTATTATCTTCTGTTTCCATTTCGTCGGTACTACTAGTATTGTCATTAGACTTTTCATTTTCGACAGATAATTCATTTTCATTTTTATCGCAAAACAAATCATCAATTGGATTTAATTGGCTACTACAACTACTTTCCGGTTCTGGCGATTTTACTAAAAACTTTGTTAATGAGCCAAACATTTTTTTAGCTTCATTTTGCTTTTCCTCTCGCTTTCTTTTATATTGCGCTCCAGACATTCTTTTCGTTTTCCTTTCAGACATTCGTAGGCCTTTAAAAATGTAAATGAGCAGTGATATTAAATTTTAGGGTAGACTTTCAATTTTGTAGCCCGGGAAATTTTGGCGGGTCTTTTTGGAGGGAAAAGGCCTTTTAATATGAAATTCTTAAATAAATATTAAAAAATATTTAATAATATTAAAAAAAATTAATAATAATTAAAATAAATAATAAATTAGTGCAATTTAATATTAAATTACTTAAAATCTTCCTTAATTTATACTAAAAAATGAATATCTTTCTCATTTTGAATGCATTTATATAATAATTAAAAGTTGTTTGTTTGCATACGAGATTCTCTGTTTAAATCGCTCACAACCCGCCGATGGAAAATCAAGCATTTGAACTTGTGTAGCCGAAAGCAACTCATTAAATTAAGCTTATGATTCCTTTTTATAATAGCAATGTTATTGTTATTAAATGTAAGAAATTTACCTGACATTGAACTAGAAAACAGTTATATGTGGTTGAATTTTCCTCTCCGTTTTCATTTTCAAAATAAATCTTGACATATTTATGTTTAAAAATATGTTTTACTTAAAAAGCTTATAAATGTATTTCTTATCGTGTCATCCTACGCGCATTAAAATATACATTAATTATAGATTTTAAGTAATTTAATATTTAATTGCGCTATTTTATTATTTATTTTAATTATTATTTATTTTTTTTATATTATTAAATATTTTTTAGTATTTATTTAAGAATTTCATATCAAAAGGCCTTTTCCCTCCAAAAAGACCCGCCAAATTTTCCCGGGCCCCAAAAGTGAAAGTCTACCCAAATTTTACATTTTTTGTGTATTACCTTTTTCAGTCTTTGTCGAGTAAATAAACTTTTTATTAAATTTCACCACACGAACACACAACTAAAAGTTTTCAGGAATTAAGCAATTTATTTTTATTCGTTAAATTAAAGACTTTAATAATATCGGATCACACACAGGACACAAATAACGATTTATCCTCACTAGTCTATAGACTAATAGGACTAATAGGACGAATAAGACCGCTTACGCGACGCCGGTCAATTGAAAAAACTATTTCGGCTCGTCGCTCGTGCAATGTTCGAAAAAATTCGGATTCGCTGCATGACTAGGTATATAAATACTACAACGACCTAATCAGTTTTTATACATTTCTTATTTCTGAGAAACTCTTTTTAGATAGATTATATTAGAGAAACTGTTTTTACTTCGTATCTTAATGAAAACAAACCGATTGTATTTTTGCCCAGTAAACAACTTGTAACGATTTGGCCGCCTCTTAATTTCGGCCGCCTGCGTGCGGTGCACGCAATGATAGCCCGTCAGGCACGGCCTTGTTCGTAATGTCAACTTTTTCTTTCAAGGACAATCCGTCAACGGCTTTCTGCATTTTATTCAGACATTCACTGTTTACGTGCCTAGCCCTAACCTGCGATGCCAGAGCTCACCAGATATGATTGCTGCTCCAGACACATTTTCTTCAATTTGTAACTTGTAAACTCCATTGTTTAATAATGCACAGGCTACCAGTGTACCTCTCTGGTTATATATTTCACAACTATCTGCAGTAAATACAATATTGTTTCCTTTGTGAATCAATTGACTGACTGACAGCAAATTAGTTGTCAATCCCGGTACACAAAATACATCTTTTATGTCCACATCAAAACTGTTATCATTAACTATGGTAGAAATCTTTATATCACCAGAACACGCAATCGGCACTTTCGTTTTGTCGGCTATTATAATAGACTGGCCTTCCTTTTCGTAAGAAATATTCGACAGCCATTGTTTGTTTGGCGTCAAGTGCACGCTGGCCCCAGAATCGACATACCAATCTTGATTGTTGAAGTTTCCGCTTCCGTTGTTATCTGAATACCTGAATGTTCGATCGCCATTATCATGGGAGCATATTTTTCAGGTAGCCCTGCTAATAACAGCGAACCAATCCACTCGTCGTTTAAATCAAAACCTGTATTACACAACTTTTGCCCTGTTTCTATAATTTGTGTGACATATGCAATCATAGATCCACAATTTTCGAGTCTTATAGAAATTAAATTTCGTAGTAAGCTTATTCTTCTTGTAAATCCGGAATCGTCGAATAAGGTTCTCAGCTTCTCCCATAATTCCTTGGTAGTAGAAACATTTCTAATGTGTACATATAGTGCAGAGTCAATCGTAATAATCAGTTTCGCCTTTGTTCTATTAAAGGGCGTCGCCAGCCGATGGCGCAGGGGGGGGGGGGGGGCAAGTTGACTTTACAGACTACAATTCATACTTTTCTCATTCTCTATGAATGAGAAAAGTAGGTATGAATTGTAGGTATTCTGTGACAGTACAGAGTCTAATGTGTAAAGCTACACGAGCACGAGCTCTTGACTATGCAATAAAAAACTTGTAAATAAGTTATAATAACATTTATTAGAAAAATAGAATAAAAAGGAGTTTGAATTTGAATAAGTGTACAGCGTACAGCGTATTTTTTTTATTATCAGATTTTAATATTATAATGATTGTTGTTTGTTTATATGTATTAGGTTCATTAAAATATAATTTTCGGGGATTCATTGTAAACTTCTCGACCACTTTATTATTAAAATCTTGTAAGTTTCCAAGTTTTCGGTGCACACTCATCATGGCCAAACCATTGAGGCGATTTTCACTAGGGATGTGACATTTAACATAAAAAATCGATTTTTAATTAATCGATTTGTTTTTTAGTTTGAAAAATCGATTAATTAAGAATCGATTTTTCTTAAGAAAATAATAGATTTTTTTTTTAATCGTTTTTTTCCTAATTTATCAATTAATTTCAAAATGAATGCCATAAATATTACATCAATTGATTTATTAATTAAAAATAAACAACAAAAATAGAAAGTTCTAATATAATCAACACAAATTAAAGATTTAGAACAATCAAATTATAAAAGGCTCAAATAATTTTTTTTTTACATAAATCAACAAAATTAAATTATTCAAAAAAAAAAAAACAAACTAGAAATCCGTAGGCAACGAGTTCAGGAATAACAGCTTAGGTAAGCGTTTGGATAATATTCGGCTCCTGGTCTTTGTTAATATGGCACCAGCTTTCGAAAACAATCTTTCTGCTGGAGCCGAAGAAGCAGGTACCAATAGGTGCTTACACGCTAACTGTGTGAGTTGGGGATAAACTCCCTCATAGCTTCTCCAGGATTCTAAAGCGTCTTCTTTTAGTCCTATTAGAGGCGCAGCTATGTACAAGCTTAATTCGGATGTCTGACTGTGACTTTGACTGGTTCTCATAGTCTCCAATAACAGCTTGTTGTGGATCTCCCAAATGTCATCATTATCGACATTATCAGCGGCCGAAGTTATTGACAGAGGGCAATGCTCAGGTTCTCGGTTTTCTTCAATTTCAAAATTTTTCACTCATAGTGCTTGTTAGCCAGGTTTTTAGTCTCCTGAGGCTGCTAAACGATCGCTCTACCGTACACGTCGTGCATGGAAGAGCAATCAAAATTTTCAACGCTTTTTCCGTGTCGGGAAAGAAGGTTTTTGCTTCTTTTCAACAACGGTTTGATCTGTTGAGTTTGGTTTATTATGCCAGAATTGCTGCCAAAGCTCGACTTCAATTTTTATGTTTGGTAAATTATAAAACTGAGCGATAGTTTCACAATTTTCTGTGAGATTTTCGACTGACATCGTTTGCATTTGTGCGGGGTGTAATTTAGATAAAGCAAATGATGGAGTATTTTCTTCAGCAAAGCGTGTTTCAAGCGATGTAATAACGGAGTCCAAGTATGGTATTATTAATGATCTTTTCCAGAACTCTGAAGGGCTTTCTGCTGGGTGATTGCTTCGATGACGTTGTTTCCCAACAATGCGCGGCATTGAAGTGATATCCTCCTCCAGGCCGACTTTCTTCGCAACAACAGTAGCATCCCTTATAATTTCATCTGTGACTCTTTCGGAATTATCACTTCACATATCACAATCGCATTGGACTATCACAATCGGATTGGAGTGCGTTGACAACAGGTTCTAACAAAGCAGAGTATTTAACTATCAAAGTAATACAAAGTATAAACGAAATTTTGAAAGCAGCCGCATGGAGTTGAAAAGCATTTTTTCGAGTAGCACTGTTTCCTTCACGCGATAAGTTTTCTAAGGCTTCCAATATAATAGGAAAATTCTTCTTAAATACTCTGATAGTTTTATGTTTCTCACTCCATCTTGTTTCGCAGAGCCTGGCAATATTAGGTACTAATTTTCTTTTCAAAACAGATTCCCGAAAAAAATTAATAATATCTTTAGTGGTTCCCATGGTGTTTCGAATTTCAGGAAGAATGTTGAGATCATTTATTACCAGATTCAGTTTATGGGACGAGCAATGAAAGAACAGTGCTTTGGTATATTTTTTGCGAAGGATCGCTTGTACTCCACCGTCTTTTCCGGACATCGTCGAACAACCGTCAAATCCAAAACCAACGCATTTATCAGCAGGATTAAGGTCTTCTTTTGTCAGAAACTCATCGATGCAATATGCAATAGATTTCGCATCCAGACCTTCCAGCTCAACAAATCCGACGAACATTTCTTGGACCTCATTGGCTTCCTCGTCAAAATATCGCAACCCAATCGATAATTGTTCAGTACCGGAAATATCAGCTGTTTCGTCTGCTAACACACTATAAGCGTCTGCTTCTTTTACTTTTTTCGCAATGTCTGCCTTAATAACATCTCCACAAATTGCGATAATTTCATTTTGAATATCAATTGATCGATAGCTTGCATTTTTTTTTCCCATGCTCAATGTGTTTCTTCAAAACTAAATCTCCCGCGTCAATTCGTAGCTTGTATAAGTCCTCGAGAATACCTTCGCCATAATGTTTTCCTCTCAGAGCTAAGTCGTGCGATCCGCAAAACATAATGCAGGAAATAATAGATGTTATAATTTTTCGGTTTTCTTCAATAATGCCCCGGGTGTATTTGTTGATTTGTAAATCTACAGGCACACTTCAAAGAAATGATTTAGCGGCTTCCAGTGCCATCTTATGGAAGTGGGTTTCCATGTGCTTTTTGCAATGCTCATGAATATCTTTGAACTTACAAAACGGCCTTATGATAAATGACCCTAATATGCCTCTAAAAGAATTTGGATTTGGCGGGAACAATGTACAATATTTACAAAAGGCTTCTTTTTGGTGCCTGGAATAGGCCAACCGTGGAGAGTACGTTTCCAACCATGAATAACTGAATTTCCTCTTCAAATGTTTAGGGTCTTCCGCAAAGTCATACGTCGCAGACGGAGACCAAGTGTTTTCAAGCAATTCTTTCTTCATTTCAGTCGATAACATTGATGCTTGTCCAACAAATTTACCGATGTCATTTTCGTTGCAGTCATTTATTTATTTATTTATTTATTTAACCCGTATCTTCCCAAGTCCTCAAAACTCATCTGATTGAAGCGAAACTTTCAGAATCATTTGTTAGTAGCCTAATTATCGATAATATGCAACAAAAAAAAAAATTTCGATTTCCGGTATTTCAGTTACAGTACCGATCCAAAAATGGAACAGTAGGAGAATATGCCACTGTATTTTATTGTTGGTATTGTGTGCTTTTTAGGAAGATTGCTGTAAATAATGAAAGATATTTATGAATAATCTTATTTATTTTTAGTATATAATTTTAGTATTTTTAGTATTTTATATAACATTTAGTATAACATTTAGTATTACAATTTTATTTCGTATGAAACGCAGGAGAACACTTTTGGTGTAGGGCGACGTTGCATTTGCCACATTTCATTGTCGTGTTTTTATGACATAAACCACAACGGTTTTGTTTATCACTTTTGATAATATGGTGTGCCTTTCCATCTAACCTAATATCAACTGGAACTCGTTTTATGACTGCTAGAGATGATCTTGGAATAGGCTTCTTTACTGAAGAAGAATTTTCAGGAAAAGTCTGAAGATATGTTGTTACAACATGTCTTGTAAATGACAAATAGTCATGCTGATTGTTTTGTGAAGCTGGCGATAATTTATATAACTGAAAAGCATTATTCATACATACATTTATAGGAAACATAAGTAGCTGCCAGTACCACCTCTTCAGGCGTATAGAAATACGATAGCATCCCACATTTTGATCCAAACGGTCGACACCGCCCATATATTTGTTATAGTTGACGATGCAGCGAGGTTGGTCGACGTCTTTCTTCTGCTTGTCACAGTAACGTTTTACCTTAGCTAAAGGCTCCACACCACATTCGGTTGAGGCAACGGTAACAATATTGTTGTCATTGTAACGTACGAGGGTGATGTTCGTCAGAGTATCTGTACACTGGTCAAAAGACCCTCTGCTCATTTTCTTCATATCTTTCGCTTCTTTCAAGGGTGCCTTTTCTACCCTATTTGCCCTAACCGTTCCCGTCGCATCGTGTCCTAATGTTTTTATTTCATCCAACAAGGGTAAAGATGTAAAATAGTTGTCCATATAAAAGCTGTAAGTACCGGGCGGCAATTTGGATATGAGGTCTAAAACAACAGAAGCACCTACACCAAGTTCTGGGTGGGTATTTCCTGTGCTTGCCCCTTGATAAAGCTCTCCATATATCAAATATCCAAGACGAGTACATATAGACCAATTCTTATAACCGAACCGAATGGGTTTACCATGAATATGTTGCTTCGTCCCATGTTTCCCGAAATATGGAATCATGGATTCATCAATGCTTAGATTCCTGTCACCGGGATAATATTTTACCCATCTCTTATTGAGTAGATTCCAGAGAGGACGAACCTTCGCGAACTTGTCCTGTGGAGCTAAGTTATTATTATCGGCGACGTGAAAGAATCGTAATAGTTCTTCAAATCTGTTCCTAGGCATAGCAGCTGCCACACCTTGAAAATTACAATCAACACTTTGCTCCCAGTACATACGATATCTAGCAACACTGTTGTAACCAGACAGCAAGAGAATCCCTATAAATCGTTTTATTTCCTCAGTTGTAACTTTGAAATTGTGGTAACCTTTTTGAATAGCATTTTTTTCGGTTTCAGAGCGAATCAATTCAAAAACGTCTTCGTCAAAAAAAAGTTCAAAAAAGTGAACAGGAGTATCTAGGTGTTCTAAGAAATGTGGTGGCTCTGATGTTTTCTCTGTCTTCACTGGAATATCTACTTTCCTCCACTTTCGGGTAGCTGGACATTTTTTTTTCTTTGCCGGTGGTTGTACTGATAAGTCGCCGTGTGTATTATTATCTATAGAAACTTCATTTGATACGCTTTCTATAATATCTAAATTAGACTGTGAAGATACAGTAGCCCTAAACTCAGCCTGTGCTAAGAGCTGCTGCCTGGACAGGTGATTTATGTTCGAAGACTCCTCATCTCCACTGTCTTCATCACTTTTGTCGTAATTATCTGGGGGTGTTATGTAAATATCTGCTGACAATACGTCATCGTTGTCTTCAAGATGCGATATTATGTCATTTACCGACAATCTAAAACAAAATAAACGCAAAATTCAAAAATAACAATTATGTCACTACATAAAATGTTCCATATCCATATTATCCTACTGATCCATTATTGGATCGATACGTATAAAAGTAAAAAATAAATGTAAATAAGCTAAATGTGCATTTCACTGTCTTGCAATATGATAACTCAACTCCTAGCCGATATAAATACGATACAATAATTATAAATTATCTAAAAAAAAAACAAGAAATACTTACATTCGGCGATGAGACATTTTTTCACAATTTCCAAAAAATTCAGTGCGTAACAAAACACAAATTTCGCGGCCCACCGAGGATCTGACAAGTGAATATGGCGGCAAGAACTGTCAGTGCTGCCACCATAGACAAAAAAAATGGCTGCGTTCACGAAATTTTAGTAAAAAAAATATTAAACTAACCGATCCAATAATGGATCACTGGGATGATACGGGTTAAAGGTACATCACACATATTTAACAGATAAAATTGATAAATCTAGGACCTGATATGACCTATCTAGGACCTATACTTATTGTCTACCTTATAATAAAATAATAATATACAAAATTACAAGAAAAAGAAAATAAAAATATATATAAATCAGACAAATAGAAACATGTGACAAAGTGTGATTACAGACTATGATGTTATTTGATGGATTTTATTTTTAAATTTGGGCAAGGCATCAGCAAATACGTCCAAATGCGGGATCTTAGAGCATATTTTGTTGTACTCGGAACAAAGTCTATTTATGGGACAGTGTTTGCCAATGTTGGTGCGAGAGACCGCTGTATAGATATTTTATAAATAGGCTTTCTGGGAGGTCTAACGGGTACTGAGATGTCAATGTACGACAGAAGGTGCTCACTCTTAACTACCCCGTTAATAATTTTATATAAGAAAATTAAGTCGTGCATTTGCCGACGCTTAGATAAGGTTACCATTTTAAAAAAAATTAATCGCGTGTCATAAGGTGTTCTATGAGATATTCCACTACAATTAAAAGCAAGAGATCTGGTAAATGCACGTTGTAAGTTTTCTATTCTCTGTGATTGGACTGTATACGTGGGGTTCCATATTTATCGAAGAGCCGGGAACTAAGTTCGGTTCTTTGGATGGGCTAGGTCTCGCCAGGTCACCCACGGAATCATCGCTGTCACTGCTTGCGCTTTCAGGTTTCTTTCTTTTTAAAACTGCAAAATAAAATATTTGAAATAGCAACAACTTCTTCTGGTTCGCAATTCACATTGAAAGCATAAATGCCCTTCAAGACGGCGGCAGGCTTTTTTTCCGGATAAACTCTTCATTTACATCAGAAGCAGTATAGGTGTTGATAAACTATTGAAGTCTTGCAGCATCTACATCAATGACTTCGGCCACGTTATAAACATTGCAAATAAAGTTTTGGATGGTATTGAAGGTTTCTTCCTCAAGTTCACAATTACTACTGAATAGCTCCAGTTCGCCAAATCTGGTAAATGCAGTTTGGTACTCTTAATTTTTTCTAAGAATACTGAATGGCCTTTGTTTATCTTTCTTAAAAAAGCAGGATTATAATCACAGCCAGTGATCGCATGAAAGCCTCGTAAACTTTGAGATAAATACGGTCCTAATTCCTCGTAAATAATGATCTCATGCATACTCATGGCAAGATTTTAAATATGTCTGGAAGATATTTGGACCCTCTTGGATTTTTCTGGCTGCATAGAAATAGTGTTAAAATAGTTTCTAAAATATCATATATAAAAATCAAGACTCAGACTTTGAGTAAACTTACGTTATATTTTTCCAAACTTTAAAGCGTCTGGCGGAAATTACCGCCGACGAAAAAGTTCTGGCACTATTAATTTTAAATTTTTAATACATTTTTTTAAAATATATATAAAAATCAGGTCTCAGAATTTAAGAAAAGTGACCAATATTTTTATGTACCTCTAGCACTTGGTACCTATGAATTGGCCGCCGGCCCAAGCTAGCAGGTATGCTTACCTTCAGAGTATACCCTAACACTACTCTGTACGATACTTTTCGTTACTCAGAAAATAAGTAACGTCTGGCGGCCCCGGGCCCTTGGACTAAAGGCGGCTGTGCGGGGGGGCGCGGGCGCCACGCGGTTACATGTTGCTTTGCTTTCCCACTCCCTCTCTCCCGCTTCAACGATAGAGTAGAGCAGAGCGCAGCGTAGTACGGAATATTAAGAGTGGAATTGGTGAATTCATTCGAGTTTCGACGGACGGGAATGATTGTTCAAGGCTTGAACTTCAAGCAAATCGACTCAAATACTTAGGACTTTGGTTGCATTATATTTGGCAACTTTTTCAGAATCTCTAGGGGGGGGGGGGCAGCTGCCCCTCTCTGCCCCCCCTTGGCGACGCCCTTGCCATAGTTCATAAGGTGTTTTTCCTTGCAACACAGATGAAACTGTGCGATTATGTAAATATACTGCTGTGCTGGTGGCTTCTGCCCAGAATGTCTTACTTAACTGTGCATCAAAAAGCATACATCTTGCTTTTTCTACTAAGGTTCGGTTCATTCTTTCACACAGTCCGTTCTGTTCAGGTGTGTATGGACATGTTGTTTGATGAACTATTCCCATTTCCTTTAAGTAATCATGAAACTCAGCATTACAAAATTCTCTTCCATTGTCATTTCTGATAATTTTTATCTTCTTATTTGTCTGATTTTCAACTAACAGCTTGTATTCTTTGAAACTCTTCAAGACATCATTCTTATTTTTTAGAAAATAAATAGCTATCCATCTGCTAAAGTCGTCAATAAATAAGATAAAGTATCTAGAGCCTCCAATGGAAACACTCTCCATAGGACCACAGATGTCTGTGTGAATGATATTCAACACCTCTGTGCTTCTCTTACTAGTATGAGTAAAAAGTAACCTACTCTGTTTACCTTCTCAGCAAACGGTACAGGTAGACTTCGTAATGTCAACTTTTTCTTTCAAGGACAATCCGTCAACGGCTTTCTGCATTTTAATCAGACATTCACTGTTTACGTGCCTAGCCCTAACCTGCGATGCCAGAGCTCACCAGATATGATTTCTGCTGCTGACACATTTTCTTCAATTTGTAACTTGTATACTCCATTGTTTAATACTGCACAGGCTACCAGTGTACCTCTCTGGTTATATATTTCACAACTATCTGCAGTAAATACTTAGATATACACTACCGCGGACTTTCCTGTAGATAATAATGCGGTCAACAAAATCCTAGTACATTATTTTGCTCCATCATCAATAGTTATTACAGCGCACGCGATTTAAGGTATTTCAATAGTGATTTTTATCGACCGTGGTTTATGTTATCGAAGTTTTCGCAAGGATCCCTAATTTTTTTCAAAATAAAATATAGCCTATGTTACTTTGGAAAGATGTACAATCATAATGGTGAAAGAATTTTTAAAATCGGTCCAGTAGTTTTTGAGCCTATTCGTAACAAACAAACAAACAAAAAAATATTACCTCTATCTTTATAATATTAGTTTAGATTATATCTTAGACTTTCGGGAGTATGTTTGTCAAAAGCTATGTTTTATGGATATTTTATTTGTGTATTTTACTGTTTAATGATTTGATGGACATTTCTATTAGATCAGCAATCGCGATCTCAAAATTACGAAATGAAAGTGTTGTTTTCTGTTTCAACAAAGTAAACTAACAAATTACTCGAATAGAATCCAAGAAACAATTTTATTGATACATTTATGTATATTTAGTTATTTCTTCCTTCTATTTGTTAATCACAAAATAATTTGTACTAGAACTTTATAGAGCGTATTTGGTTCAAATTTTTTTGTGCAGTCATTAATTATAGTAACGTATGTAACTTAACTATAACTGTGACATCGAATTTTGTTCCAAAAGTTATCATTATCTACTTTTGATTAATATTAAATAAGGATATTAAAAACTACATATATAAAAAATTTTCTAATTCAGTTTGAAAGAATGTCCTTGACTATATAAAAATGTGTGTGGAGCAATAATCTGTTTGCTATGAAATTTAAGGTTCCTTTAGATCTGTTCCTGTTATTGGAGACGAGGAAAAGATAAGTCACCTTGAACCAGATCTAGCAAATAGAGGAGAAAATTGAATTTGGTTCTTGTAATAGTAGCCATCGCGACCGCAGGTTTGTTTATTGTACCAATAAGACAAGATGATTCCTTTATTTTTAACTCCTTCTGTATTCTATGTATCACGTTTTATTTGATATCCTTAGAGTTTTACCAAATATACTTGTTGGAGTATCAAGCAAAGCTCTGTCGGTAAAAAAGTGTGGATAAGAGATAAGGGCATTTATATCTGTGAACTCTTTTGGTTCTTGTTGAAATGTTGTCCTGTTTTTTTTTTTGAAATATTTACGAAAAAAATTATGATCGGTCGCGAAGAAAATTTAAATGTATCTAAGAATTTAATGGGGTCACGGGTTTTATTCCACACGGGATATTCCCCTTTGTTTTAAATTTTAACAGTTTACGGGATAGTTAATTCAGCCAGAGGACTGTCGTACTTTAAAATCTTCAATAAATTTAAGGATTTTGTCTGCAAATAATAAAAATGGGATTGTGTTCGAGATCCACTTTAATGGAAAGCCTCGATTTCATATGTGCACTTAGTGTGATAGTTTTCTCTGAAATCTTTGTGGATAAGACACATCAGCTTTTACTTTATTTAGAATTAACCCCATCTCTTTTTATTCTGGTATCAGATGAGCAACAAGATAATAATTCTTTATTGTAATATAACTCCGACTCACAACATTCATCTGAAAATTCTACATTGCAATTGACTGTTCCAGAACATTCCGTCGGGACATATCTATCAAACTTTTACTCGATTTAATTTATAAATATACCATCAAATAAGCAATTGCAATATTAAACATTCAGATGAAAGTCTTGAGCCTGAAATTAATAATGTAACTTAAGGATTTATTCAATTATAAATATTGTAAACCGTAGTTATAATTTATTATTATTAATACTTAATGTTTCCTTAATTAGAGTTTTTATTACTGTATAAGACTTTTGTTTTCATTACTCACCTTTAAATAATCTTTCCATATTACTCTATAAGTTGAAATACAATATATTTAATTAATAATAACACTCAAAGTCTAAGGTGATAGTATTGTTGTAAATTTTAAGTCGTCGTAGTGGCTATTAATCTTTCGTGTAGTAATATGGATTGCCAATTAACGATATCATGATTTTTACTATAATGCTTTACCACCAACAGACACACATCAATATATAATAAATTTGCTGTTTATTTATAATTGCTATATTTATTTCAAAGTCAACATCTAATAGGTTAATGTTTACAGAGTAATATAAATTGATTTTGATGGCCTTATTAATTAATTACACTGATCATATTGAATATCTGCTGTAACAGATCATGCAACGCCGCCAAATATGACGGCAACATTAGACAGAATAAAACAAATAATTTTAAATATTTTATATTATACTAGCAAGTAAAATCTACATAGAATGCGTGAAACATTGTTATGTCCGAAATATACAATCATTTAATTTTGATTGAGGTTAAAAACAAGACAAAAAAATTGATTACAACTTTTCTGATCATCGCTTACAAACTAAAAATAATATATGAATGGAAGCAAATAATATAGACAAATAAAAGAGGAACCTCGCGCCGGGCGGCTCACCCGGGATAAATATTAAAATCATTTAGATAATAGATTAAACATGCGTCTAGCTCAGTGTAAAACATATCTCTATATACATGACGCAACACTTACTAATACATGAACGAGTATGGCATGGACACGCGCCCGACATTCATGACGTATGAGATCAATAGTTAATGTGTCGACAATAAACAAGCCTTCGATACAAACATCACGAAGCTAAACACTTAGCACCAATAATAACACGCCGATAGAGGCGAATGTTGTGACAATAATAATTCTTCACTGCAAATTGATTTTAGATAATTTTGTCATAAGTCAAAAGTGAAAAAAAAATACAAGGAAAAGATACACCTAGAGAGCTACAAGCATTTTTTGGTACTACAATAAATATGACTGAAATTCATGTCCCACTCGTGTATGGCGCAGCGATTACACTGAAACAGATATACATAATAATTAGTACATGCATATTTTTCATTATTTACTTTTTTAAATGTTCTTAATATAAACTAATTATATTTCATTCTAAGTAACATTACTCATAAAATTTCATAAAAAGTAATAAATAAACAATCTAATACTCAGATATAACTTTTTTGACAATTAACATGTATATTTAACGAAGCAAAAACTTATTTGTTATTTATTAGTGAAAACCTGTCTGATGTATTCATTTCTCACTAGATGGCAGCACTTGTTGTAACATGTACGTGTGGATGTTTGTTACCATTTAACGAAACAACTACTGAATCGAATTCAATGAAATGTCACATATGATATAAGGTACATAGACTTGTTCAATTTCTTATATAAAAGTTGAATTTATTTTAAAGTCATGCGTCACTATGTTAGCTGGCGCCGGTTAGATATATTTAGTACTAGCTGCGCCCCGCGGGGTTACCCGAGCATTTCCGGGATGTAAAGTAGCCTATGTGTTATTCCTGGACGTCAGCTTCCTGTATACAAAATTAAATCAAAATCGCTTCAGCCGTTTGATCGTGAAGAAGTAACAAACATACACACACACAAACTTTCAATTATAATATTAGCGCGTCTCCGCGGCTCCTCCAATCGAATGCTGAGTGTGTTTGTTGAAAGGTGGAACACGCCAATATCGTATATGGGTACAACTACATACTAGGTCTAATAGTGCTTAGTATATTAGTTTTATAATTTTATAGTACTAACATTAGGTTTTAAGTTTTTTGTTATTAACACTCTGCTTTTAATGTATTTTTAATATGAATGTAGTTGGTCTGAAATAAATTATTATTATTATTAGTAGGCCACAAGTCCCGTACCTACTGTTCTCGGTCCTACACAGCCTGCCGGTCGCTCACTAGTCCCTGTAGCTTGCGCGCGACGCCCGGCGCCGCACAGCGCGCCCTCTTCACCACGTCGGCCGCCTCGCTGTCCACAGCGCGCTTCACACCGCCCACCTCGCACGACACCATCGTGTTGATGGCTTGCAGGTCCTGTTAACAGATATAACACTTAATAAACTACTCATATATAATAAGTTATTAATAAAATATGTAATATCCATCTTGAGACTATTTACATCTGGCAGTCAAACATTTAACAAATAAACATGGGGATAGTTTTATATAATACGATTTTTATTACTCATTCATACAGCTTACTAAGTCATAAGGATCACCTTTCGTGAGTATATAAAATTTGTTTGTTAAAAGATATAGCTATTGTGACATCGGCCTTTATGAATTAAACATCAAACACTTGCATAAAATTACAGAGCCTTGTCAATAAATAACTATTATCATATTGAATAAATGATATAGGTTTTACATTATAAAATCTTTTTTCATTTAATATATGTTTTATTTAGAATCTCAAATGTTTGAAGTCAAAATGATAGTTCAGTTATATTAGTTTAAATCGACAATATATGAATCTGTTGATATATCTTGAAATTACAATCGATTTCAACTAAACGCAAAATATCATGGACCACGTCAAGTCAAATCTGATATATAAACAATACAAAATCCCCGAGGATATTTGTGCGTCGGCCTCCAGAGTCTGGAGTCCAGACCAGACATATTTCTATATTCGCGTATTTAAAGCGCGTTGTGATGTCTTACGGTGCCTTGGGAAACCAACATCCCCAAAGACCATGAATACTATTAGAGTGAACCCCAAGCTTTACCTATTTTTCATATACATATACTATATATATACCTACTATACATATACCTACTAAAAGACGGGCCTGTCCAGAACTAACATTAATTCATTCTTGGAACGTACGTCAAAGCAGCCCTAGTAGGTTCTTTTCAGGGCCTGTCCAGAACTAACATTAATTCATTCTTGGAACGTACGTCAAAGCAGCCCTAGTAGGTTCTTTTCAAATTTCGTTAGGTAGAGAGAGGAGCTTGGACAGTGGAGGTGAGCGTATAACGCGCGTTAGATAGGGCCTTAAACCTACACCTGTGTCGCAAGTCCCAGTCACTGTTGAAGCTCCTCTCTACAACGATGGACCCGACACACGCACGGTGAATCCATTGAATGCCGAGAGGTTTCGTCTCTATAGTAGTAGTGTTATAGTGTGAGTGACCTTAGCTGGGCTCCGGCTGAATCTATATGTAAGGTGGTGGTGGTGATGCGGCGGAGTGGTGAGAGGCTTCACGTACAGCTGGTGACGCTCCGACACGCGCTGCCCGCCCGGAGACCAGCCCGCGCGGGCACAGCGACCTGCGCGACCCGCCGGCAGCGGGGACAGGCTGCAGCCCTGCAATATATACATATACGTATATATATACATGAAATTAACAGTTGGATGGCTGATGACGTCACACATTCAAGCTAAATACGTTCGAGGATGGCCACTCAAGTCTTAGATATGTGAGATGCAATGCATGCTATAGTAAATATTATATAGTTGGACGTTATTTAACACATAATTATAAGATAGATTTGTTGATGATATCAAGACCTCTTAGTGTTACTAGTTGTTAACATTCTGGGCGGTTCTTTGTTATAAAAGATTTGAGAGTATACTCAATATATACATCTTATTATATCCAATGAGTTTTATAATTCCCGACTCGAGCATTAGTTACTTGAAACTATATTGAACATTAATCTCGACAAGGTAAGTAGTGGATTAAATATGTCACAACTGTTCCAACATGTAGACATTTTAATAACAATTATAAATACAAAATAACGTATCGCCGAACGAATATGTGTCTTTTGGAATAAAAGCCAGAAAATAACCTACTATATGACACTAACTTCATACATACCTCATATTTAAACGATATTCCAATTTCTACACTATTTTCTTACTATTAACCACTTAAACAAACAAAACCGCGACACAATAGTTTGTATATAAAAAATAGACAAATTATATAAAAAATGGCCTTACATCTTTATGTTTCCCAGTGAACCGTAGCGCAAAGTTTTGCATACACTTAACATATACTTTATTGTAAAAATTTATAAGATCTCCTCTCTCCGGTGATTCTGCAACAAAAAAAAATACATGTATAAGTAAAACATTCTTTTAGAGATAATCATAATAATTATCATCAGCCTATCAGAGCCCACTGCTGAGCAAAGGCCTCTTGTCACATGGAGAAAGTTAGAGCATTAATCACCATGCTTGCTCAAAGCGAATTGGCGATTCAAGCTTACAATTTGGAATTATAAGTTCAGGTTTCCTCACGATGTTTTCCTTCCCCGTCTGTTCGTAGTGTATTAATACTCGTAGAAAGTACATATGACTCGGAAAAATCACATTGGTACTTGCCAGGTTTCGAACCCGCGCCCTCATGCACTCGAGGCAGACCTTTAACCTCTAGGCCACAAAGACTTTATATAAAGGCTTATATCAAATAATATTGATTACCTTCATCGTTCCCTTTGTTAATAAGAACTGATCTATAAACATGATTGTCCGCCAGAGGTCTCTGTCTGTAGCAGCGCATGATGTCCGCGAATGTTCTCTCAACTTGATTGCTGGGTGTGTTGGACACCTGTTCAAATGATTACCATCAACAAATAAGATACATATACCCAATAGTTGTAATTTTTTATTATTCTAACAATGTAGTGTAATAAGGAGATAAAAAAGAGTAAAGATAGTATAATAAAGTGTTATTTCAATTTTGATTGTATCAAAGTTCAATTCATCTTGTAATAATACATTTGTATAATAAACATTAGGACTTCCCACACTTATTTTATCTACTGCCCACTTTGATAATAAAATATTTAATAACTCCATCTTCTTATCTACCAAAACACCACTAACTGATCCTAGCTAAATGCAATTATAAATCACCCCTTGTCCTCTACACAACGCCCTTATTTTTTTGTGTCTCCTACCCCCCTTTAGGCTCGCAACTGTCTTGTAAAGGCTGTCCTAAAGTTTCACAGTAACATAATTTATAGCTACATTGACATTTAACAGTAATTTTCTCATATTTTATCCACATATAAGTGTAGTACACTACATGACTGTTTCTCAATACATGGAATATAACATACTAATAATATGTAAATACAAATGTAGTACAATAATACCCCGCTTAACGCGACCCCGTTGTGCGCGGTTTCACTATAACGCGATTTTCTAAAATTTATTCAGGTTGGGACATTGCAGAGTATAGACAATAATGATGACCGTGTCTAGAATGTGTGTCAAACGATTAAAAACAGTGTTGGGTGTTATGAACGTATTTTACAAGAACGTAAACAAAACGCTACCCAAAAGACAATACATGTATTTTTTCGTAAAAAATAGGAGTACCTATGTATTGTATAGTGGTCTTAGAATTAAAGTGATTGATTAAAATGATTTTTATATTTGTGTATTAAATTTTGACTGTGTTTAATCATAAACCTCGATATACGCGAATTTCAGTTAACGCGATTTTCTTCGGAACGTATCCCTCGCGTAAAGCGGACTATTACTGTACACACTATATGCCTATTAGTTATTTCTCTATACCTTGCATATAACATATACAGCACACATGAGTATCTGATCCAGATGCCTGTCCCTCATGAGCTGCGTCTGGTTCATCAGCGAGTGTTCCACACACGTCCATATCTTCCTCTTGAGCTCGTCGTCCGTCAACTTCAGCCTCGTGCACAAATCATTCATCCTGATCACCGCCAGGCTGTAGAACTGTGGATTGTTAATAATATCTTGATCAGCTATAGGTAAGACATATCTTAGTTTCATGTTTGTCTTTGTAGCAAAATATCTAACAAATATGTCACTTACGAGGATATTTTTTTTTAGCAGAAGCTTGGTAATTTTATAACTTGTATGTATGCAATAATGCTTTATTTAGATACTGAGAGAATAGATACCTTAAGCTGAAAAGTTCTTAAACTTATCCTAGAAAATATACCAAACTTAAGTAAATGAGAATATAAATTCCAAAGTCTAGACAACAGATGATTATTTAAAAAATATAATCTATGAAATTATAAAAATAATTATTTTTACATTGCAAATGAAATTTTATATGATGCTGTTGTAAATAATTGCAACTATTTGGTTATACATGTTATTTCTGTCCTACCTTCCTGAAGAATAATATTAATGAGTTATTTGCTTTCTTGGGTGTTGTGTTGGGTGTGGTCTCCACTGGTGGCACAACTGGCACTTGTTGAGCCTCTTGCTTAACATTGTTATTCGTTTGAACTGAAATCAAATAATTTATACTAATATTATAAAGCTGAAGAGTTTGTTTGAAAGCGCTAATCTCCAAAACTACTGGTTCGAATTGAATAATTCTTTTGTGTTGGATAGTCCAGTTATCGAGAAAGGCTGTGGGCTATATAACATTACGCTACGACCAATAGGAGCAAAGATATAGTGGTAAATGTGTAAAAAACGGGAGAAATTATTTCATCTTTGAAGCCTTCCGTTGCGTGCGCCGTGAAAACGGTTCAAGATACACAAAAAATATGTATTAAAGAATAATTAATGCTCTTTTAATGATCTAAAAAACAGTCCGCGACAGTATATGTCTATCTTTTAAGATTAACTCACAAAAACCGTTTTTATGTTTCCTAATTTGGTCGAAATAATTTGTTTAAGTTGTATCAACATAATAATATTAATCTTTATTCAAATAAAGAAATAAATATGTTGTTGGTTAAGAGTACTTCATTGTGAATTAAAAAAAACATAGGTTTTATCCTGAAAATTCTACGGGAACTCGACTATTCCGAAAACCCCGCAAGAACGGGACCTATGCTGGAAGAACCAAAAATCTGCCGGGAGTCACTATTCCACGCGGACGCAGTCGCTGCAAAAGCTAGTTATATATATGTATATAATGTTTGAAATATATTATTAAATGATAAGAAATATACTAATTACCTAGCAATGATTGTCCAGGTTTGATGTTATCCTTAAAAAGCTGTTTCTTTGCTTGATCTGCCATTGGTGTTAAATATCTATCTATGGCCGCTGATATCGGAGATTGTAAACCACCTGTTGAAAGGAAGTATTGAACAATTTAAATTATTAGTATAATATAAAAGAAATATATATTTTTATATGTAATTTAGAATATATACTCTAAGTATATGTAAATTATGTTATTTTGTATAGCCTTTATAGCCTTGAATTTTATTATTGTAGAAACTCCTTTACAAAAATAAATTCTATGAGTGTTTAAAGCTTAAAATAATATCAAGATAGTTTAAGAATCAGACATAAACAGAAGCAAAATACTTTTATTACAATAACTACACACTTTTCATATATAAATATGTATATTTTAGTTTATTATATATGTATATAATACATACTGGCATTCCTTCTGTTGGGTGAATCTTGTGCATATACTTCAATAGCGGCCGGTATAGGATTCTTACTTAACTGATCCCAAAGTGGACTGTCAGATGTCCATACTAAAGATTCTAAAACTTGCTCTTCAACCTGAAAATATTAAACATATTCAAATAAATAAAATAATATTTATATTACAAGAATTAGTTTTATATGATTTTGTAAGCATGACAAAATTAAACTCAAATTATGTGAAATTACATACATATCTTTCTTGTTTTGTGTGTTATTTAGTTAAAGACATACATATGAACAATAAGATTTGACACACTATCATGTAACATATATTCAATACATTGAGACAATCAACATTTCATAGTGTCTAAAATTATAATCAATACTTAAATATTGTAAAATTCATAGAAAAGATACAGACAAAGGTGTAGAGTTGTATTGTTTGCTTATAGCAATATCTTATATACAGGGTGACTGGTGAATTACTATCGATACTTGAGGACGTGATATTTGACGATCATATATGACAAAATAAAAATTAATATAACATAAATATTAATAAACTTCTAAGTAAAGTTTACCAAAAGTCATGTAATTAATTACGCATCGTGTGAACACCCTACAGATTAGGTATACACACACACTCACACATACGCGTGCGGCGGCGTGCTGATACAACACACGTCCACACTTGGAACACTTGGAACGTGTCAACACTTTATTTATTTATACCGAAATTTTGTCAAAAATTAAGTGCCTATTTTTTTTTACATAATTCGAATGAGAATCATGTACCGAGTATTCTCCTTAAATATTGATAGTAATTCACCAGTCACCCTGTATAAAATTCTCGTGTCGCGGTGTTAGACAGAGAGAGAGCAGGTCAATATTTATTTTTCATATTCCCCAACTTAATTATTCTACTATGTAATATCTCACCGCATTAAGATGTTTGATGACATCCCGACTTAGTTTCTGCACCACAGCCTGTACTACCAGTTCAATGATCTTGTAGAAGTGGAACGCACTGAGACCATAAATCTGAAGCACTCTCGGAAAACGAAGGGAATGTACTCCGTAGGCGTGTAATACTACCTCCGTACAACAAGCATATACTGTCAATTGAAACGTCTCCTGGGATAGAAGAATCTGGAATGATATACAAGTAATACATTATAATTATGAAGAATTGGATTTTTATACTTATATTTTTGAGATATATTAATAAAAAAATATATAAATTAAAAAAAGCATGAGACACTTCTTATTATATCAAATTTATGCAAGTGGAAATACTTTTAAAATCGGTTGAGATATTTAAGAACAAATAGACAGACAGATAAAAACTAATAAAATATTCTGGTATTCTGGTATATGATGTATACATTTATATGCATTTAGCATTAAGCTTTAATTTCAATATTATGAACAGACAAATAATTTATTTATTTATATTGAAATATCATTTATAACTTAGCAGCATTTAAAACTTAAAAAATGTTGCTTAAAGTGATCAATTATTAAATATATTGATAAAATTCCTGATTTTTTTATGAATTATTATGTACTTTGATAGGGTTTTAGTGTTAAACAAATTAAAGGTTTCTACTAAAGTAATCAATTATTTATATTATTATGTACCTGTAATGACAACTGTGGTTTTTTCCTGTGTTCCTCCGTTATGATGTGTTCAAACACTTTATAGTACAGGCATGTTACCATGTTGCATCTGAACGCTATAGTCTCCTTACTACAATTACACTCCGACAGACTTTCTGAGAACTTCTCCATCCAGCCATTACAGGGTTGCACAACATTCTTCACTATAGTCACTTTATCCACACCACAGTCACTGAAGAATTTTAAAAGTTTAATATTTAATTAAACAATTACAGGATATTTGTCAGTTAGAAAATCATAAAACTTAATACAGGTGTGCAAAGCTTAAGTTACAGTATTACCAGCTTGATATTCTAAACCTGTACCTAAAGTTCAAATGGGGAGTAATTAGTCAGATGTTGGAAACTTGTGGTAGGTGTACTTATAGTTTTATGTGAGCATAATAAATATTATTTTATACTGTATTCCATAAGGTATAACTCACGCAAAAAATCTTAGTAAGCTGGGTGAGGGTTTAGGCCGTGCTTGTCTCAGCAGGGCAGCCAGTCGAGCCAGACTGTTGGTGGCTTCTGATACAGGTGTCAACTCTTCACGACGAGCCAAGTAACGTCTGCCCGTTAGGGGTGTGTCAGGACATGCTCGGGAACTCTACACAAATATAATATAGTATAGTATAGTATATATATAAAGAAAATTGAATTAAATATATACAATATTAAAATTAACGTACATTATTTTTTATAACTATAGATCTTAAAGGAATGTTCTTTAAAAAAATATATTAAGTATAATAAATAAAAGGCACAATTGTAACAATTTTTATAAATTGATATATTAATAGTAAATTGAAGCTCGCAATGGATATTAAAAAATCATTAATGTCACTTATATGTTACAGATAGTATAAATATTAGTGTAAACATTAATATTGTTTACTTACAGGTCCAAACGATGCTATGACTTGTGATATTTCATCCCCCGATACCTTATTCTTTGTACCAATCTGTTCATTGGCATGCTCGCCTGAAATCACCATATTTTTAATACAAATTCCACTGGAACTTTGTAATAAATTCAATAAAATATACCTTCATCATTCACAAAATATGACAAAATTGTATTCAAACTAAAAAATCTAGCCATTTTGCTGAATATAATATGTCAATATTGTCATTAGGTGGCCAGAATATTACAGGATATATAAAAACTTTTTAAATATATTAAAAAGGAGGTTGTGTTAGTTCCATTATATGTAACTCAAGAATGAATTTACAGATTTGGCTGTGATTTAGAGGGAAGATGGCTTAGAACCAGGAGATGGATTTAGGAAACTTTTTATTACAATCAATAAAAAAAAATTAACTTAATATAATCTAAAATCTGCTTATTTAAGGCTTTTAAGATGGAATAGTTTTCCTATCAGCTATACATTTCAAATTATAAAAAAGACGCGAACGAAGTCGTGGGCAATAATTAGCAAATTATAATTATAATTTAAAAAACTTACCTAAAAATATTCTCTCATCAAATTCACCAACACTTAATACATAGGTTTCATATAAATTGTTCAGTGATTTTAGATTTGAATCAAAATTACCGATGTCAAGTAAACCAGTCAGTTGATCGTTGTTACCTTTAAGAATCTATAAAACAAAAAATATAGATAATATCCTTATATATATTAAAAGTATGTTTATATAGTTTATTATTTTTATTTAATGATAAATTAATATATTTTAACTTACCCCTTTTTCAAAAAACGTTTTTATCACAGGTCTCCAACTGTATTCTTTCATAGTAGCAGCTTCAACTGCTAATCCTTCCTTGATCTCACACAACACTGATATAATACATGGCGGCTTTTTTGGTAACTCAAAATCATCTTTAAGCCAATCTGATGGCAAACCTACAAATGAATGAATGGAAATAATAGAGATGGTGCAGCATTGAAGGGGTGAGTGAGAAATATTTTTCATGAAAGAAAATTAATAAATTTAAAGTGCTATGTAAATTTCATAAATAAAAGGTATCTTAGATTTTTATGTGTATTCATTTAAATGAAACTAAGTTTTCTGGATACATTCATGTTTTTGTTATCTTATAGCTACATAATTCCAATGTTTTGGTTCCTATACAGCAACCATAATCTTTGACAGAAGAGTTAAAATAATCATTGTGATTGCCCAGGATTCTGGTAATGGAACCAAAATGTTGGGATTATATAGATATAAAATAATAAAAACCTTGTTTTGATTTAGAAGCATAATAACTGAATATTACAAATAAATAGTATTCTAAGTACATACCTTTGAAAGCAGGATTTATAAGGTCATAGCGTCTAGCCATGAAGGCATTAGCAAATACAAAGTCAAGACATGACAATAAAACATGATACATATCAACAAGATCATCGGCCGAGTTGTGGAACTCTCCCTTCACACACACATATAAACACCAACTGAACTCAAATAAAGCATTTGTTGTACAAGGCTGTAACCTGCAAAGAAGTTTTATTTATTACTTAAAATCTTTGTTAAATTGGCTGAATATAAATATGAACTCTTTGTAATATACAATGCTGTTTGAATTAAAACCTATTCCTACTTACTTTTGTTTCTTGCTTTTGGTGTTGCTTTTAACCGGTTCATTTGTTAAACCAGAGAAAATTTCTTGAAATATCGGTTGAAATTTCCTAAAAAGTACAGTGGACACTGCAAATTTACGTTCTAATCTAGTTATCCTATCTTTAAAATCTGTTGACATTGATGCCATTTCCATCCAGTTTTTGATTTTGTTGAAAAATTGTATAAGGCTGAAACATGGAAAAAAAATTGTTAGTTCTGTGCAAAAATGTCATGTAGCTAGAATATGTATGAAATATATTTAGTATATGTACCTTATGTTACATAGTCTGAGAAGTCTGGTGAGGCTGACACAGTTGCCCTCAACAGCCTTGCCTGATTGCACTGTTGGCGTGATAGAGGTACGACACGCGACGTATAGGGCGCACGCCATCCAGTGCAGCTCATCACCCTACAAGTTATTATTGAAGATCATATGCACTACTATACTGATTACAACTGCGCCACAGAATTATAGATTTATAACTATATTATCTCGAAAAACTATTGTAACTAAAGAGCTGAGGCATGGCTCGTTAATTTATTTTTAATTAGAAATACTAATCAATTCATACTCACGTCTAATGTATAATTTTGTTTAATCTCCGAATATGATTCCTTTGATTTTTTCGCTGCACCTGGATCAACATTTAATTGTGAGCACAGATTGTCCATAGTTGCAACCCAATTTTCTTCACTTTCTTCTGGTTTAGCCATTTTAATAAAACAATGATTTTATAAGACAATATATTAAAAATAAAACAAAATACACAACTTCGGCCGTAAAGTTATACTGATTTTGTCAATTTCTGACAGCTCAAAGCTCCTTGGCGGGAAGATATCTAACACACACATTCACAAACAATTGACGTAGATTTTATGTATTAAGTATTGCCTTTGTAAAATAAAAGTATTTATTTATAACAAAGGCTTTTTAACAAAGAAGTCTTTCATTTGACATAGCGCTTTAGAAATGTGTAAATTAAAACAAAATTTTATGATTTAGTTTATTTCTGATATGTTTTAAGTACTTATGATATTAAAAAAACATAATATTTGAACAACTTACGATTTTCCTTTTCCATTACTTTTTTTATTTCCTTGTAACTCTAACTTAAAGTATAGTACTATTATAATAATCAAAGTACCTTTAGATTCTCTTTAACTAATTTCAGTGAGCTTATCAATGGCTACTAAAAGAGTGGAGTTGGTAGAGGAAGAAACAAGTAACATTTATCTACATATAAGGTTTACTTATTTTTTTGTACCATATCTATTACGAATTATTTATCAATTATAGAAGGTGATAGAGCCTAGCTGTTCAATTACTACAGGTCGAACGTAGGTCGACTCTACTGGGGAAGTATCACCCTCTCACAGAAGATCGGCGTGAAGTAATCTTTAACAGCTGCGTTTCGTCTGGTGAGTGAGAGAGTCGGTTGCCTTTCCCTTTTCGCATTATTTCCTGCACTCTCCTTTCACTCCCTTTCCCATTTTTCCCCAATCAAGAGTGGCCACACATCCTCAAATTTACGTTGCGGATGTCCATGGGCGACGATACTACCTCCATAAAGTTAAGCCGTCTACTCGCTTGCCCCTTATCCCATAAAAAAATGAACCTATATCTAAAAGTGTACATTATTATTAATACAGTCACACATTTTAATTATTAATATTGTTATCAGAAATAAAACTTATTAACTGACTGAATTACTAAAATTGATGCAAATTAATTAATTAAATTTATTATATATATATTTTTTGATTTTTGTGAAAAATTCTCTCAGAAAAATATTCACTGGCTTTACTTTCTTCTTCCATCCTCAATAGCACGAGACGATGAAAAGTCATTTTTTACAATAGTATTAAATGTACAAATATTACTTACAAATATGTATGTATGTATTACTTACATATATCTATACAATTTTTTGGATTAAATTTCTAGAACCCATGCAGTATAAAAGAAAAACTATCATTATTAAATTCATAGGTATGCCGTATGACATTTAGCAATATGTAAATTGTCTAATGAGGAATGTCATGCTTTATTTTTGTTATTTAATATAAGTTCATATAAAATATTATATGTATATATCCGTTTAATTCTTTCTTTGGCAGCCCAATATTATATAAGCTTTAGCACAAATAATGTGACATAAGCTAACAAAATTACTTACTTACATTATAAAAAAGACACAAAAATGTTGCGGCGATTCTATCATAGTACCTGTGTGTTAAATAATTTAAAAAAGCAAGGCCTTAAACTTTCCAAAATGTTAAACCCTAAAAGTAAAAAGTGGCGTATCATTTTACGTATCATTAAAATATTAAGTAATGGTACAAAATATTTAATAAAGGTTATTTTTTTCAGGCGATGGTATCCGAATGAAACATTGGAAATGAATATGCCTAGTGTTAAAAGTTTAACTAAAGTTAAATGCGAACCTGGGAAGCGTGGTGTGAGACGGATAGCAATGCTAAATAAATTGTTTATGAAGAATATTACTGATATTTTATCTACAGGCACAGTATCCTTAAAAGTAGTCGGACAAGGAATAGAGATATCAAAGGCAAGTTATGCAATATTAAAATGAATCCTTTATTAACATCACATTATAATACATAATAGTTAATTATTCACATACTTACATTTTTTTTTCATTTGAGATATAAGTTATGTTACATATAACAACTTGTATAAATCACATCCGTTTTTCCTGGTGATCGCCTTGCTAAATTACACACTTTTTTCCTCTCTATGAAGGTTGTAGAAAAAATATAAATATTCTTAATGAAAATACTAATATTTATTATATATAATTTCTTAGTCATATTTCCTATAATATTATCTTCTTAAAATTAATTTATTCTGTTTATATGTATTACAAAGGCACTGTCAAGTAAAATGATGAATGTTATTTCTTTTATTGAATAATTTTTTGTATTCAAATATAGGTATATGTTAATTTTAGGTTAAAATACTGCCAAATCTCCAATCAATAAATGTGTTCTGGGTGTGTAAGGGTGATGCGTCAGATGTACAAACAGAAGCCCTGCTTCATTCCATCGCAGGTCCTCTCCGACATGAGTTGTCAACACTGAGGTTGATGGGGGAGGTGCCGTACATTGTTTTTGTTAAAGGTTTGTATATTCATATATAGTACATACTAGCTTTCCGCCCGCAGCTTCGCCCGCGTGAAGTTCGGTTACATCGCGTTTCCAAGAAATGCTTTCAAAAGTCTGGGATAAAAACTATCCTGTTCTTTCTTAAGGTCAACTCTATATCTGTACCAAATTTCATTAAAATCAGTTCAGTGGTTTAGGCGTGAAATTGTAACAGGCAGACAGACAGACAGAGTTACTTTCGCATTTATAATATTAGTAGGGATTTTGTTCATGTAGTATATATTATTTTGTTAGTGAATAAATTTTTCATAGAAATTTGTGTGTATTTTCAAGTGGCTGCATAGTTTTGCTTAAAAAAATAGTTATTCCTTGTAATTCCTGCAACATAAATATATGCATTTTTTTTCATGTTTTTATTAGCTTTTAGTGTGGGTGTTAGCTTGAATTGTGTTCACTATTGTATTCCTAGGAATACAATGATAATACATAATGTGTAGCATTTACAACAAATATTCCGATCAACTATAGGCAACATCTATCATCAAGATTGTAAAAATATATGTTTAATATTGTAAGCCACATTACTGGAAATTTTCACCAAAATTTGTTAATAAATTTTATGGTAAAATGTGACAAAAATCCATAAATCTATAAAAATTTCACATTTTTTATATTAGTGGCATATTATTCTCTAATATTGTGGTCCATACAAAATGTAGATATGTATTAAGAAGGGATACTATCTTTGTGTTTTTTATTAACAAACTCTCACTGTTGTAGACAGACAAGAATCCCAAACTGTAGACCTTGATAGAAGACTCGCTATAGCTGATTATGGAGAAGATTACACTCCAACGGAAATAGGCCATCTATTGAGAACAGACTTCACTCTAAACACGAAATTATCACCTGAAGTTAAGGTATATATTTAAATAATTTAATATCACATACATTAAAAATTTCAATGGTTAATGTATTTGATAAGTAAATAGCTGTAATTTAAGGAAAACTTTTTATTATTTAAAACTAAGAAATTTTTTTTTACATTGAAATAGAAATTTGTGAATTTTTTAGTATACAATACACTTACTTTGATGCTATTCTAGAATTTTAGAAGTGTTATAAAATATAACAAAATAAAACCTACTTATTAATTAGATTTAATGTAAATGAAAATCTTTGTTTAGGCTAAAATAAAGCAGCTAGAGGAGAAAATATATGATTCCGAAGACCCAATACCAGAAATGACACATAATGTATATGGATTGGATCATGCCAAGATACTGAATCGACTTCTAGGAGCGAGGAGGAAAACCAGGGATGCTTGGGACAGTATTAAAGCCGAGGCTCCATGTATAACATACAGAGTTGAACCAAAGACATCTAATATTGATACCGGCAAACAAAAGAAAGATTTATCAGAATTTCTTCTTCAAAGACAGGTATGTTTCAATTTTATTATATAAATTAACTTTTTACTTTAATTATATTATTATTTATTTTATTGACATAAATTAAATTGAAGTTTTTGGAAAATTAAATGTCAGTTATGTTTTTTATTATTTGCAACACATATATAAGTTTTGATAACCAATGACTTATTATAAAGTACATACTGAGATTAATTAATTACTAGAATGTCTTTTATTTGGAATTATATTATTATTTGTTATGTTCGGAAAAAATATTATAAATTATATAATGATAAATATGAGTATTGTAGGCCAACTAAGCACCAATGAATTTTAAAAAAGCTGATTCAAATCGTAGCTTACTTAACCTCGTGAACTAGATTTGAACTGCTATTCAGAGCTTTTTTTATATCATTGTTATAAGCTTACTCAGTTTATCGATTTTCGTTCTATAAAGTAGGTCTACAACTTATGTCATAAATGGTATTTAAATTGGCACAGTTTTTCTTATAAAATATTACTTAGTTTACAGAGTATATTTCGTTTTGATGTGGCTTAAGACTTGTACATATTATTAAAACCTATATTTTAACTCTTTTACATGTTACTATTTTATAAAAAAAATATTAATTTTATCCAATCATAATAAGATGTCACTACAAGCTGTCAGATAGAAATCTCAAAGTATCCTTATTTAAACCGTGCGTAATTTATGTATTAGAGGAATTTTTAATTATTCTATATAAAATAAGCAAAAATAACATATAAAATTATTCTAGATTAATCCATTTCAATATAAAAATAATACATATTTCGTGATAATAAAACCGTAAATTTTGAATACAAATAATAATAATTAAATAAAACTTATATTTTTTGAATATACTACGCGCTTTTCATTATTTCAAACTATATACTACCGACGTTTCGGCTACTTTTCAGCAATCTTGATTACCGGCAGACGTGAAGGTCTTAGAACTCATTATAATAGAAATTAATAAGTCATTTTTGAAAGAACTTTGTTGAATCAAAATTAATCTGTTATATTTTGAAGCAGAGAAGTAGTTCATGTGTCTCAAACTAAGTGGATATAAGATCTTATTAAATGTATACAAGAATTTTATTCTATAAGAGAATTTCATCTAATTCGACCATTCCCTGCGTTGAACAAAAATTTACATACAATATAGTACATTTATAGTTTTATTAACTCATAAGTTTTATAATTTGGTACAGACTTTATTCATTTCAATACTTTAATCCAAGTGTAATCATATTATTTTAAACATTCATAATTCCATCAAAAACTAAATACTCTTTGCCAAAATACTTTTTAGTCTGTATCAATATATAATGAATGTTGCCATAATAAAATAAGACAGCCTTCATAATAATTAAATTAAATATCGTCTAGCGAGATATCTCGAGGGACCGCGGGATACTTCGTTCTATACCACTTGGTCGTTATTAAAAAGGTTCTCGACCAACTAAATTGATTGTCTAAGTAAGTGCTTAGTGGAGCTTGCGAACATTCACTATGTTTGGAACAATGCCAGTAGAGATAAACGAAACTAAATTTCGAATAGATTCAAGCGATAAAACATTATTCCATAGATATAATATTTTTTTTTGTATTATAAATTAAGTCTGGCAACATTTAATATATTTTACTCTAATGTCATTTTTTTTTTGTTTTTTTTATTTGTTTATATGGCACAATCTATTCGTTGTGTCAGTGTCATATATTTTTATTTTGTTTTCTATTTTATTGTAAACTATACATATTTTTTACTTCTATGAAATGTATTAGTGTTATAATTTGTAATACCTATATAATAGAAAAATTAACTAAAGAAATTAAATACCGACAATTAATTTAATAAAGGAAGTAATAAATTTTAATATGTTTTAATGAAGTTTTCAAGTAATAAATTACTTTTAAAATTAATAGGCATAATTAATTTTTTTTACGCCCATTACCTAAATAATATAAAATTAAATTATTGTTAAAATCATCTAAGCTTTGTATAGAAAACTAGCTGACCCAGCAAACGTTGTTTTGCCATATAAAAAAATAAGGGTTGGTGATAAAAAAATAAAAATTTTGGGTTGCATGTATTTTTTAATGCTTCATTATAAAAAATAAAAACAAAAAAATCGTCCGAAAAAAAAAGTAAGGTTGTACAACCCTTATGACTCAGGGGTATGAAAATTAGATGTTGGCCGATTGGCCGATCAGACCTACTCAATACGCTCACAAAATTTCATCAAAATCGGTCCAGCCGTTTCGGAGGAGTTCTCTATCTAACACCGCGACACGAGAATTTTATATATAAAATATATAATATTAATGAGTTCATTAGTTATTACGTAACAAACACACAAACATACACAGATACATACATTCTCCAGCGGTTTTGTTCCTGCATCGTTCAACTTGTATCAAGTTTATTGGCCCATCGTCTGTCCTTGGCTGTGGTAATTGCGTTTTGTTTACAGCCACTGTTGTGGAAAATTGTTACTCACCAATATGATAAGATGTTTAAAATAAATAAATATAAAGTAAACATATGTTTATTTTGTTTGATTTTGCTCTATATGAAGAAGATTTAATATTTGTATTGAAATGGAAGTATGATTCATACTGTAGTTATTACGTGACTAAAAAACTAGATTTTTATGAATAATTATCTTATAGGTATATATTTTTTATATCTATTCAATTCTTTTTATATATATCGAAATATTGTCTAATCTGTTCTCGAAATTTATAGTTATTTTATTACTTATTATTAATATATGTATTATATAATTATTTTATTCCTGTATATCTTCGTTTTGTTAGAATTATTTTAAAAAAGATAATGATTTATTGTATGAGAAAAATATTTGTCAGTATTAAGTTGCAGTATGTTGAATTTTAAAATTTTAACGGTTATACCTTACGGCCGCCTCGGTTTTAAAATTATTAGTTTTTTTTAAAGATTTTTTTGTAATTGAAGTTTTTTATTTTACCGCGTTAACACGAATAAAGCCAAAAGTGTATGCATAAAATTATTTTATATATACAGGGTGAGTGGTGAATTACTGTCAATATTTAAGGAGAATACTCGGTACATGATTCTCATTCGAATTATGTAAAAAAAATAGGTACTTAATTTTTGACCAAATTTCCGTATAAATAAATAAAGTGTGGACTCGTTTCAAGTGTTCCAAGTGTGGACGCGTGCGGCGGCGTGTTGATACAACACCACGCCGCCGCACGCGTATGTGTGAGTGTCAGTGTATACCTAATCCGTAGGGTGTTCACACGATGCGTAATTAATTACATAACTTTTGGTTAACTTTACTTAGAAGTTTATTAATATTTATGTTATATTAATTTTTATTTTATCATATATGATCGTCAAATATCACGTCCTCAAGTATCGATAGTAATTCACCAGTCACCCTGTATATTGAAATAAAAGATATTTTATGCTGAATATGATTTCGTATTACAATTTTCATGTGCCATTTTTTAAAGGAGGCTTTGGCAGACGTATCTATGAGTCTCGAGCTGTGACTTTTTTTGTCCCAATTTCCGTACGTTCAATGTATTGTCCTCGTGGCTCGTGTTCTTTAAAGCCGCGTGTAATATTCGTCTTTTTATTTCCTACTTATATCGACCTGGTTTCGTATGCGCATTAAGGGAAAGAAATGTTACTTTAACAGAATGACATATATTTTTATTATTATTAAATGTATTTAAAGGGAATACCTCAGTAATTTTTATGGTAATGCAAGCAAAATGATTTTGCGTGTTTAATTTTATATATACATTGGTACTACGTAAAAATTATGTTTGTTTTTTAGTTGAAAGACATTGACATTCATTTAATTATACGTTAGTGAAGTCCATAGTTATAATGTCTATACCCTATGGGTAGTATATGTACGTAACTATTATGTATTGGGTTTTTTAAATCATTGATCTATTACAACTTGGGGTATACACCGGCTTTCACGAACAATAGTTTTATGTGCATTTAATGATTTCTAAGTGTATTACTCATAGGAATGGATAACAGAATTAGGAAAAAGTTTTGATTTGTAGTAAATAAGTATGGTCGATTTTTGATTTTGACGATGAGACAAATAATGTCATCTTTATGCTTTTCTATTGATTTTTTATATAATAGAAGTGACATTGAATATCAAAGAAAGTAATTTCAAACAATACTTCTTAAAAACAGAAGAAGAAAAGAAAAATATTGTTTTATGTCATGTAATACGTACTGTAAACAAAAATGACACAAATAGATTAAACGTACTAACACGGTATTGAGAAACAATAATTATTCCTTATTATCATTTTAAATTAGCAATAGCAACAATTAAAATAAGTTATATTTTCTCTAGTCGTTTCAAAACGTAAAAATATATTAAATTGTCTATGGTCAATCAAAAATATTATCGTAATATAAATAAAAAAAATACATATGTTCACAGATACAACAAAATAAGCTTTACAAGAAATTGAGGAGTGAACGAAAGAATGTAGAAATAGAGCAGATTGAAGAAGAACCGGATTATATTGAAGAAGATTACTATGAAGACGAAGAAGATTACGAGTTTGAAGAAGACGATAGAAAGAAATAATATATATCATATTATTATAGTAAATAAATGTAGTACAAATTATACATGGTCTTATTTTGATTATACAAAATCATTTAGTACATTAAATTATAATATTATCATAATCTATGAAGTCTGTGCACTTTTTGTTAGAATTATATGAGAATTATTATTGACAGAATTAACCAATTCCATTCCACATATTACGTGGAATATAAAGAAAATAATTTTTTTATGAACTTCTGAAACTAGATAAATTGATACATATTGCATTTCGATCAAGTAGGTGCTTTTCCGATTTGCGATAAAATTAAGATTATTTTCATTTAATAAGAAGACATGAAAATTTACTATATAAAGATTTACTTTTCAAATAAATTTCAATAAATGGATGAAATAAATAGTATCAATACCATATAATAGCATCGCGTAGTTATAAATTGTAAGAAGGCATTTTCACCGCAATATTTTTCACTAGACATTTTTATTAACATGTCAAATCAACAAGACTATCGCTAATATATTAACATAATTTAATTCCATTCCAGTGATAATGTAGTTATAGCATACAGAATAATAATAATAATAATAATGAGTTCTTCTATATATTAACTAGCTTACCGCCCGCAACTTCACCCGCGTGGAGTTCGGTTATATCGCGTTTCCAAGAAAACCTTTCAAAAGTCTGGGATAAAAACTATCCTATGTTCTTTCTCCGGGTCAACTCTATGTCTGTACCAAATTTCATTAAAATCAGTTCTGTGGTTTAGGCGTGAAAGCGTAACATACAAACTGACAGACAGACAGAGTTACTTTCGCTTTTATAATATTAGTAGGGATGAAATTTGACAATGTCACGTGATATTGTCAAAAACATAGATTGTGTCATTTCAATAATTACTCATAATTCTTTATAGCATAGATTATACTCATAAATTCACCGCCATTATTCCCAAGTTATGTGTATAATAAATATTCTGAATCACATCTCAACAGGTCGCTATATTGTCTAGTCTTTGAAAGAAAAAAATACGTCTAGAAAAATATATATAGTAATACATATTGTCTAGATTATTCTTTGTACTCCCATACTTATCGCAGACTGAAGGGTATTAACCCCCAAGTTTTGCGGATAGCTAATCAATTAGTACTGTCTGGTGTATTTTATTATTAATTTCGTATACAAATATATAGTAAAATTAAGTTATTTATAATTAATATTTAAGCTTTATACGTTAAAGGGCTTGTAATATTTTTTGGTTACAATCCATTCGATGACTCTGTGCCCGTATCCGACAATCAGACGAAACTCAAATGTATAATGGAATAATAGCTGCCAACAATCAGTATCAAATTGGAAGTTATAAGGGATCATTCACTAAGATATTATAATCAAAGCTAAATGCTTTTTAAATGACAATACATAATTGTATTATTTATTTGTAATCTGTGCTTTATTTTTTTTTTCACCGAAGCGTCTAGACTCTAGACGTTAGTGATTTGCGTTCTGCCAATATTGATTAGATTTTCAGCTACGCCTACAATGTGCGTAGTGTATTCATATACTATACATAGTCCATATAAATGTAGCTATGTAATACATATAGAAACAAATATATATATTATTAAATGAACCATGTAGTCAATTAACAACGTAATTTTAGAGAATTTGAGTAGATAATTAAAAAAATTGATTCTTTTTTTATATTTATAGTTTTTTTTGAGTCCATTAATAATTTTGATAAGAAAACGAGTTCTACTAGATCACAAAGTATTTTGAAACCATTTAGGCCTACTGCGACAAAAAACAAGTGATAGTAATCATTTGAATATGTTCTATTTAATATAGATTCCTCACTAATGAAGGTGGAGTTCTAACGGTTTTTAATGTCAGTGGCGTAATATATTTAAAACTTTAACATTTATGTTACATGATACAGTATAAAAGCAATATCCCTGTTTATAACAACTAAACCTGTTAAATGATCAACAAGTTGCAAGATATCCATTTATAGAAACGCAAGAGGCCTGGCTATTAATTTATAGGGGAGTATGAAAATTGAGCTTACGATATTCGATATCGCAATGAACCCTGAAAATATTATTGAATGCGATTCAAATATTATTTGAAAACCCTTAAACGGCGCGTCTAATACGTTGCCAAGTCACGTCTGCGGTATAGTGCTTTAATTTCTAAAACCTAAAGAATAACAGGGACGTGGGCGTCTTAGTCACGGGTTTTTATACCGTCTATGGAGTAATAAAGTTAATCCAGGTCCTGTGTAGTGCAATATCGAGCGAAGTTGGCGCGGTGGGACGCGGGGTGGCGCGGCGGCGGCCACCTGTTCGCCGCCCCCGCGCCCCTCGCCCCCCTCCGCCCGGAGCACCCTCCTCCCCCCTCTCCCCGGCCACCCCGAGCCCGCGGCCGGCTGCGCGCGCGAGCCCTTCCCACCACTCATTCGTTTCGCGACGCGTCGTCTCGCCGGCCGGCTTCCGTCTGATTCGATCGGGTTCATTCTCACCGCGTTTCTCGTATTGCTCGATCGTCTCCTCGCTCATAATCAGACATGACGGAAAGCACTGACGCCCCCGCGGCCGCGGCGCCCGAGAAGACCCCCACCGAGAACGGAACCACCGACACCCCGCCGGAGGAGACCCCGGAGAAGGCTACCGAAGAAAAAGAAAAGGAGACACCCCCGCCGAAGGAGATGCGCGCTGTCGTACTCACCGGCTTCGGTGGACTTAAAACGGTCAAGATATTAAAGAAACCCGAGCCTACGGCGGCCGAGGGAGAGGTCCTTATCCGCGTTAAGGCATGGTGAGTATTTTTTGTAACTATTTGAGGCGGTATGAATCTTCGGGTATAGGTTTTCGATAACGTAGAATTCTTAAATTTGTAGTTATTACTTTCTTTCTTAATTTTTACTTTCTACGACGTGGGTAGATCACAGAGTGAAGAAATCTTGTTAGAAGTTGCATCAATATACGCATTTTTAATTGATATAAACCATTTAGTCACTTTTCCTTTTCAATATAATAAATTTCACGGGCGATGAGTCGAACCTACTTACCTAATGCCGGTCGCCCGTACGATATAATCCAGTGTATCGTTTGCGCGTCTCGCCCGATCCACAAACATCTGCCTACCGCGCCGTGAGCCGTCTTCAACAGCTTTTGTATCCGATTGAAATTTCTGCACGTACTCACTTCCATCGCCGGCACCCGAATCGGATTTGCATTCTAAAGAGTGTGTGCTAATAAAAAATAATTTTATATTAATATCCCTCAATATCATAGTCGTTTTAATACATGTAACTTGTAAGTTATAACATAAGTTAGAAAGTCTAAATCCGCGTGATAAATATACAGAGTCATTGTTTGATTGAATAAATTGAAGTTTGTCACCGGACGCCTTAAGGCGAGTTCACGCGAAAGGGAGTTTAAATGACTTATATTGTTCTTTGTTCGTTTTTATCGCTCCAATGCTTCAGATAATGCGAAGACGAGTCCCGCCGGCTACTCACGACTCATGACTTATCTGCCACCGTTGTCGTTAATGTTAACTGGCATAGAAACGCTAACAATGCGTGCACTTGACTCGGGCCATTCATCAATTGGTAAAGTAGCCCTTCATAATTTTATAACCTTCACGATCGTTGAAGTCTATCTTAATAGACGTCTAAGTTGGGTTTAAGTATGGTCGAATGTTATATTGAATCAGAGGGAGGGAATCATTACATACTGGACTCGTAGGTGTAAGTGTAAGGCGAAACGCATCCTCCCGCTAAATATAGCTCGCTTATCGCCGACTTACTATGTAAATGACCGCGACACATACAACAGCTGCCGCGAAAATATAAACACTGCTACATAAATTGACTACTACTCAAGCGGCGCTGACGCTGGTTTGATGATTATATATTATAATTATACAGATGGTCTAGATCTTAAGTGTTTTTATGTTATATAGGTCTGTTTTTTCTCATCCATACCTATATGTAATTATCGCACACCTATAATTATATTTCTAGTTGGCTAAAATAAAAAAGCACCCATATTCTGTTAGAGATGAGAGTTTTGAATTGTAAAATGTAAGTTATGGGCTTACACGAAACTTGTATTAAAATGTATAAAGAAATAAAATTGTATTTTTAACTTTTATATGCATAGGGTTCCCATAATCCATAGCCAACAAAAATAATGTTAACTCAATATTTTGACGTTCTTAATGGATTTGAGTTAAAATAAACAAAATAGTAGATAAAGTAAGTGGAATTCACGTCTAATTTTACGGGAAGCGATTTTTACGCAAGCGTAATACGTACAAGGGATCTCGAAATAGATGTAATGTAAACTTTTGAGATATATTTACATGGAACTATCAGCCATTTTCGGTTGCTTACAAGGGTTCCTTAGTTGATAGCGCTATTAAATTAATGTCGGTGAGAGTTATAAAACTGAAATCAACTGTACGGCACAGTATTGAGAGCAGATGCCTCGGCCGCCGCTGCTCTTAAACTTTTTGTTACATATGAAGAAGGGATCGTTCAGATGAATAACACACCATTATATTCAATTGGGTCAAGTCGGTGTCAGAATCATCTTCCGAGAACAATCCGTACAGCTAACATGTATACGCCCTTGTACATGTGGATTGTGGCTTTCTCTCATACTTTAATTAATAAAATAATGGAACACATTACGACCGTTTCCTTTGTATTACATTTATTGTTATTAGTATTGCTCATATTTACAGAGAAACTGATTGATTTCGTTATCAACCTATAATCTTTTATCGCTGATTCCACAGCCGTTATGATGTCATTGGCTCGGTACAGTTTTGCACCAAAATTACGTGTTAATTGCTCACATCCTTCCCTTTGTTGATTTATCAATTTGAAGTCTAAAAATACATCTGCCCTTTGAGAACAGCTCCCGAGTTGTATAGAATTGACTGCAGCATTGTGCATTTTAATGGGCCTCGTAGCCACATAAGATGGGAGAGATGAATTTGTTTATTACCCTCTTCCTTATTGAGAACGTCTGAACGAGATAGCTCTTTTCCTATGACTCACTAGAAAGTAATGCACTTGAACCAACTTGATTGAAACACTAAGCCAAGTCCTTACCCCCCTGAAATTGTGAGTGGGTGTACTCATATCTTTTTTTTTGCGCGACGTTAGTTGATACTGAGTAACTGTTATTATTAAAGATTCTCTGACTAACTTTAAGTTAATGTCTTGACTTCTGAAGAATTTGCCAATTAATTCAAGGTCAATAAAATATTTTTGAGTTGAGATTTAAGCTGCAGGTGTTTTATACCCTGGAATTATGGTCGGTAATATCGTTGTTTTTTTGTTTCAAAGGCACTTATATGTAAATAAGTTCATATCGTCTGTAGCAGCTCGCTGTAATGCTATCACAATTGAATTTATGTGGGGGAATTAATTTAATTTGCAAAACAATGGTGTGAACATTAGTACTGGGCGTGCGTCACTAGCTTATTTTCGATACGTATGTTTAAAACTCGCTGATGAGTCAGGAAGTTAAGTTATCGGTATTGACTCATTAATGAAACTTATGAAGATTGGCACGGATTTTTATGTAATGATAAGACAAAGTCGGGTTATATGTCGTAACTTTTATAATAAACATTGTCATGAACGTTCGTTGTTAGTCTGTATTAATCATTTCTTTGTTGTCACCAGGGGTATGTTTTAGACATTTGTTTGAGGACATGTGGCGACTATAAAGAGAAATCCTTGATCGTAACAGATGCTGTTGGCGGGTCGTGTTCGCTCCTACTGTCGCCGACGGGCACATTGTTCTCCAAGTCAATGAACTTGCCAAAATGTTTAACCTCAGACTCTATACATATTCGATTCAACTCCCACTGTATATGGAGGCGAGCCCGTCGCATTCTCTTAATCCTCCTTTTTTTACTCGACATACACATTATAATTGACAAATCGTCTAAATTCAGAGCGCTGTGCCTTTCTCGGAATGTCGAGCGATGTTTCACGAGTACGCGGACATGGAATTATCGATTTGATTACTTGTCCAGTAAGAGTAAGACCATCGATTTAGGACAGCAATATGTAGTTTCAGTTCTGCTATATTATACCTAGATTAGTATTTGTCGATTGCTGTTTAAATAGATTCGGAATAACCCATGAGTTGGTTCGCAAAAGGGGTGTGGTTGCGTCGTGTTGGCTGGCGCGCGTCGGTTCCATGTTAGGGGGTGAGGGTTGCCTTCGCGAGTGCTCCTGTAATGTCTGGCGGGGTTGAGGGGCGGGAGGACGCGGCGGGGTGGCGGGGGGGGGGCAGGGAGCAGATCAATACGACGCGTCCCCAACTCCCGGTCCCAGCGACCAATCTCCGCATGCCCTGAGTCTTTCGACGCCGATACTTTTTTTATAGGTATCATTAAATATACACATCCATAACTGTATACATGAAATATTCCTTGTATCATACTTTATTTTAAAGGTTCTGCTTTCTTTATATTTTTTGTTTTTAGTCTAGGTTAAATTAAATTTACAATTATTCTTCAACGTCTTGAATTATAATTATAACATTCTCATTTTATCCCGGAATGACGTCTAAGTTTGTAATAACGCGGTAAACAAACTGCTTGTTTAGAATGTCTCCTATTTAAGCTGTATTTTTGGAGTCGAATGAAAAAAAAACTTAAGCCATATGTTAGTGATGAATGACTGTGTATATTCTGTTGTATTTCACACGTGTTCTTCCGGTTTTTGTTATTTAATAGTCTAAACTTGAAAATCAAACCGCTTTTTTGGTACGTCTCAACTCTGTCGACGTTCAGACATAAAATATAGTTCTGGATTGTATTCTCGCTGTCATTAATCAACGGATCAGATTCAGTAATTTATCATCGGACGTATCTGAACATAATTTTCGCTTTTAATATTGAAATAAATCGCAATCAAGTTTGTGTGTTAGCGAAATTGAAGTTGTAGCACGAATGTGTTCTATAGATTAGATGAGTACATATTTTATGTTATCTTTGTTATGTTAATGTTAGAAATAATTTTATTTATCCATTCATTTGAGTCACGCGTCCGTATCGATGAAGTTGAATCGCTTAATTCAAGGTTAGGGTGGAAACATTGGGGTGAATTCGTCGCGACACTATGTACTCTTATTCGAAGTTATATTGTTGAAGTTTCCATCGCATATTTTCAATACATACGATCGGATATATCAAGAACAATTTATATATTGTATGCAAAAAATATTTTTCTAGTCACGAGTTAAAATTTATTCATAGTGTAGTCGTACGTTTACGTGTTTAGAGTGTGAATTCTTGTATTCGTTGTGGGTTATATATAGTTTGTGTTCGCCCTTACATGAGATGTTTGCACGTGCCCTAATATTTGGGTCTGTCTCCCGAGGCCAGAAAGGGACGGTCAATGGTACATGCGACATTTGGGACCCGTATATGCCGTTTATGCCCGCATACCACCTTATGCTCCCATGTGGATGGTTTAATAGGTCGTTTAAAAGTTATACTTGTATATGAAATCATCGCGAGAATGTTCCTTAATTACAAATCGTGCCAGGAATACAAATACCATTTGTTTTCTCTACGTGATAATTAAAAATTTTTGGCGAAATATATTTTATCTGACTCCATATCTTAATGGCAGCGTTCAGGTGAAACATAAAAAGAAATTCTTATCATTATAGCCCTTATCCTGTTCTAACTTCTAAGTATCGATAACGTTTAGGAATTTTTATATGTATGAGTATTGACAGATGATAATATTGTTTGTTATATTTAATCTATAAACA